TTTTGAATTTGAATTGGAAGTCACATATTGATCTTCTAAAATTTGAATTGAAGATAAATTTGAATTTCAATTGATTCTTATTTAAGGAGGTTGCGTGTACGCTCAATTATTTTTATTTCAATCGTGCAAATTATTAATAAACTAATAAAAATAAATATGACAATTTAATTTTAAAATCGTGAACAATTTAATGAAAATAAAAACGTGAAACAAAAAAATTATTTGATACTTACATGATTCGTTGTCGATCTATTCATATAGATTTGATTATTGGAATGGAGGTGAATAATTTCATGTCGGTGGATCATGTATGTCATCTTTCAATATTTTAAATATATAAATTACTACTATGATAATTAGTTCGTTCATATGCTATTTTCTTTTTCTTTTTATAATCTAGCCCTTTTCTATTCATTTTTAAAGTAAATATTAAAATGATCCATTTTATGTGATTTATTAGTTCAATTGGTATTTAAATTTAGGTTAAAACACCCTTCGGGGTGGCCCAGTGGTTTAAGCTTGGGACTTCCATGTTGGAGGTCTCAAGTTCGAAACCCCTTGCCAGCGAAAGCAAGAGGTTTGCCTTCTGGGTCGAGCTTGTCGCACCAGACTTGCCTAGTGCGGTTTACCTCTCATATGTGGTTTGCGAGCTATTGCATAGGAGCGGGGGTTTTATCCTGTGCGCACCCAAAGGGTAGCAGCTGCGGGTTTCCCTTGTCATCAAAAAAAATTTAGGTTAAAGTTCCTAAGTTATGTTTATTAAAATTAATTTACGTGTATGGGTAAATTTAACTAAACAAAAATATTTTGTTTGAAATAATTTTTATAGTTGTAAATTGAAACTATAAAAGAATTAATTTTTACTCTTTAGAAATATAAATTTTAAAGTTGCTTACTATTGAGCAATTCTCTCTCTTGTCTTTAATCAATTGAGATATGATTCTACTTCATTCTTTTAAGGACTAATTTGTTCAATGAATGGAACTATATATATATATATATATATATCCATAGTCATAGAAATTTATCAGTGCAACTAGTAACTACATATTTATACACGAAAAAACTTAGTAATTTAAATCAAATCCTCCACCCCTCTAAAACCCAAAACCCGTCTTCTCCCTCCCCGATTAGAAACCTTTGCCCTAGTTCCATACTTTCACCGGGAAATCCTCACCGGAAAAACTCCTCTAATCAACCGGCGGAAACCAACTTACATTAGAAGCGTCTCCTTTCCATACTTTCACCGGAAAAACTCCTCTAATCAACTGGCGGAAACCAACTTACATTTGAAGCGTCTCCTTTCTCCCTCGGCACTGGATACTGTAACGCACTACCTTCACCTCTTTCTATATTTTTGCTAACTGGTAGGAAACTAGGAGTAATTTTTAATTGAGCTCACTGATTGTTATCACAATTATGTGTAGAAAATTGTATTACACCAATGCTGAAGTTTATATGTTTTGACTTGACATTGAGTTTAAGAAAGTAAAAAAGAATTAGGCATATCTCTCTCAATTATATATCCGGCTAGTTATAGGGTTTGTGTATCTTTAACTTGAGAGAATTTTTCAACCAAAACAGAAAAACTTGACAGGATTCCCTATATTAAGCACAAGGATGTCGAATTGGTCTGAACTTCAGTATGATCCGCTGGTTCTAATAGTTAAGCGTATAAATTTGATCGAGGACTACCTTAATTTTGGGGCCGTCTGCAAATCTTGGCAATGTGCCGCCACCAAGGACAATTTCAACAGTGACGTGCCTAGAATTCCGTGGTTGATGTTAGCAGAGGATGAGGAGGATAAAGACAATTCCTGTCGAAAATTCTTCAGCCTCCACAATGGCATGGTTTTAAACAAGAGGATTCCGAAAGCCATAGGAAAACGATGTCTAGAGTCTATGGGATGGCTAATCACAACCGGGAAAGATGAGAATGAAACAAGTCTGCTACATCCCTTCTCGGGTGTTGAGATCGAGTTGCCCCATCCAAATACCACCAAAAATTATGAAGACCATGAGGTAGGCTATCCATGGACTTTTTTTCACAAGGCAGTTTTATCGGCTAGTCCTTCTCATACATCGAGCTACATTCTCGCTGTGATTGACGGAAATAGGAAATTCTTCAGTTTTTGGAGGCCAGGAGATTTGAGATGGACAAGGATTGACAACATAAACTCTCCCTATAAACATATGCATCGTGATCTGGTCTATTATACTGAAAATTTTTATGCAGTTGATTGGAATGGCCGTGTGTTAGTCTATGATGTTACTGGTTCTAGTCCTATTCACACTCAAATAGTAGCCATCTTACCACCCCATCACATGGGAGACGAGTTCTATATCCTAGAATCAATTGGATCATTATTTGTAGTTGTGCGATACGGTGTAAAAAGTAGGCCGCCCATCAGAGAAGATAGCAGCAGGAGGATTTCATTAACACCAATATATCCCAATGATGGTACAGAAACTTATGGGACAACAAATTTTGGAGTTTTTGAGGTCGATTTAGCCGCTGGGGAATTGAGGGAAACCAAGCAAGTAGGGGACAGAGCTCTTTTTTTGGGTGCTAATGCATCTATCTCAGTACAAGCTTCTCAATTTCCAGGAGTCAAGCCCAATCATATTTATTATACTGATGATTTTGTGGAATCATACCTCTTCTATGAAGAAGGGGGTGGCAGGGATATGGGTGTTTATAACATAGCAAATGGCAGCTTCGAGCCTCACTACAACGGTGTTTCTCTCAGTCGTGTTTGTCCACCAATTTGGGTCACTCCAACCCTGTATTGATCCGTATTGCTTCCTTTTTTATTTTATATTATATATTTGTATTTGGAGAATGTTTCATAATTTATTTTTATGCAAAACCCTTTTCTCTTGTTGAGCACCGTAAGTTATATATGTTTAGATTTATTATAAGTTCGGAACTGAAATTGGTTAGCAGAAAAGAGGGAAATAAAGAGAGAACAAGTCATCTGATGCTCATGCTCTACCGTCTATCCTAATTTATGTATGATGCTTGAAGCTGATGTTGAGAAACTGGCTCACATAAGACTTATTGTTGTTATTTGGCTTTTCAGCATTCCTTGCAATCTCAAATATCAAATACAACTTCTTTTTAGATTGATTTTCTTAGAACAAATGGTATCATTCATCTATGGTGTCTATGAATTTTATCTTCCTCTTAAAAGTCATGTTTTGAGTAATAAACTTTATCGATACCTTTAATTTCAGAACCAAGTTTTTCAATAAGAGAACTTTTGAAAAAGGGGCTGACATTTTAAAAAAAAAATAATTGGGGATGGGATTGTGGATTTTGTTGAAAGAAATCAAAAATTATATGATAAGAATACGTAATCTATGGAAGCTCAGTAGAAGATTTTGTGGATGAAGAGTGAGATTGCCAGTTTCATCATGTTTTTAAATGAGAGTATTGTTGTTTGTGTACAAATTCGAATCACTATATGCTTTTTCTAATCAATTTCCATGTAAAGTGGTTATAAAATTGGGACTCAGCTCACAATATAACACTCCTCTTACAACTATGGTGAAATCCAAGTTAAAAATAATTTTTTCAATTCGAAGAAGATACCAAACTTCGTTAGAACAACATTTCCGTCTAAACAAGCATCAAATGAGTTGAATTCACTCTTCTTGCTTGAATTTGTATAATTTCATAACCAAAATGCATATTTTTGGATCTTGTTATCTGCTTTAACTTGAGTATTTTAGGAGTGTAAAGAGTAATCTTTGTTTGATAAAGGTGCAAATAAAAAAAATGAATTTTGTAGTTTGATCTACATTGGATTTGCTTAAGGAAGAGATCCTCGGGGAGAGGAAGGTTGCTTCCTGCAACGAAGAAGAAAAGATTCAAGAGACAAAATCGAGTTCACCGGGTGAAGTATAATAATTAAAATTAAGAGATGATTATATTCATGTAGGAGCCCTTAGTGTAACAAAAGTGGTGATGTGGAATTTAACAATTCAATGGGTAAATATGAACTTAAAATTGAATGGTAAGGACAAATATAATAAAAAAGTAGAACGCAGAATAAATATAATCCGATAATTACTTTGGGAAAGTTTCAGGCTAGATTCCTGTTACTCTTTGAAGTGGGTTTCTGTCCTCAGAATCCAACCATAATAGGGATATCTCTCTCAATTATATATAGGGTTTGTGGATTTTTCAACCAAAACAGAAAAACTTTGGAGGATTCCCGATATTAAGCACAAGGATGTCGAATTGGTCTGAGCTTCAATATGATCTGCTGGTTCTAATAGTTAAGCGTATAAATTTGATCGAGGACTACCTTAATTTTGCGGCCGTCTGCAAATCTTGGCGATGTGCTGCCACCAAGGACAATTTCAACAGTGACCTGCCTAGAATTCCGTGGTTGATGTTAGCAGAGGATAAAGACAATTCCTGTAGAAAATTCTTCAGCCTCTACAATGGCATGATTTTAAACAAGAGGATTCCGAAAGCCATAGGAAAACGATGTCTAGAGTCTATGGGATGGCTAATCACAACCGGGAAAGATGAGAGTGAAACAAGTCTGCTACATCCCTTCTCGGGTGTTGAGATCGAATTGCCCCATCCAAATACCACCAAAGATTATGAAGACCATGAGGTAGGCTATCCATGGACTTTTTTTCACAAAGCAGTTTTATCAGCTAGTCCTTCTCATACATCGAACTACATTCTCGCTGTGATTGACGGAAATATGAAATTCTTCAGTTTTTGGAGGCCAGGAGATTTGAGATGGACAAGGATCGACAACATAAACTCTCCCTATAAACATATACATCGTGATCTGGTCAATTATACTGAAAAAATTTATGCAGTTGATTGGAGTGGTCGTGTGTTAGTCTATGATGTTACTGGTTCTAGTCCCACTCAAATAGTAGCCATCTTACCACCTCGTCACAAGGGAGATGAGTTCTATATCCTAGAATCAATGGGATCATTATTTGTAGTTGTGCGCTACGGTGTAAAAAGTAGGCCGCCCATCAGAGAAGATAGTAGCAGGATTTCATTAACACCAATATATGACGATGATAACGATGGTGAAACTTATGGGACAACAAGTTTTGGAGTTTTTGAGGTCGACTTAGCCGCTGGAAGATTGAGGGAAACCAAGGAAGTAGGGGACAGAGCTCTTTTTTTGGGTGCTAATGCATCTATCTCAGTACAGGCTTCTCAATCTCCAGGGGTCAAGCCCAACCATATTTATTATACTGATGATTTTGTGGAATCATACCTCTCCTATGAAGAAGGGGGTGGCATGGATATGGGTGTTTATAACATAGCAAATGGCAGCTTTGAGCCTCACTACAACGGTGTTTCTCTCAGTCGTGTTTGTCCACCAATTTGGGTCACTCCAACTCTGTATTGATCAGTATTGCTTGCTTTCATTTTATATTATGTATTTGGAGAATGTTTCATAATTTATTTTATGCAAAACCCTTTTCCTTGTTGAACATCATAAGTTATATATATAGATTTATGTACATGTTTAGATTTATAATAGGTTCAGAACTAAAATTGGTTAGCAGAAAAGAAGAAATAAAGGGAGAGAACAAGTCATCTGATGTTGATGCTCTACTGTCTATCCTAATCTACGTATGATGCTTGAAGCTGATGTTTGTTTTGAAATTATTCTATAATAAATGGATGACAGTATCATTACCTTTTAGTGTAATGCTTATGTTTTCCAATTGAAGTGGCATGGTACTGTGTAACTTCTCAGTGTTCCTTTCAATCTCAAATGTCAAATACAGCTTCATGGTGATATTATTCGTCTATGGTTTCTGTCAATTTTATCTTTCTGTTAAAAGTCGTGTTTTATGGGAGTTGCTTCCCAATTTCAGGATAAGTTAGCAAATGATAAGTTCAGCTACATTAAGATTTCTTTACTGCACAGCGTAGCTTTCTGAATCCAGTAGAGTTGGGCTCTAAGTTAGTTATAGCCATTGTGCTATTATAACCAGTTATTAACTGCCTGACTTTCTCTTTGATTAACTGGAAATCCAATGATCTGATCCAGTTTAGTTATTAATAAGCCATTTGGTTTCTTAGGCTTTTACTCTTTAGAGCTGTTGAATATTTGCTCTATATGTTTTTGGCCTCCAGGGCTTTTGCTCTTTTGTTCTATAAATTTGTATCAGTTTGTTTTGCAATTTACAAAGGTGTGTGCTACTGGAGTTCATAATATATCTGTTCAGTAGAAGGGGGCGGCTTGGATATGGGAGTTTTTAGTTCAGCAAATGGCACAGCTTCGAGCCTCACTAAGCCGTGTGTGCTGTTGTCCCTCAGTCATGTTTGTCCACCAATTTGGGTCACTCCAACCCTGTATTGATCCGTATTTCTTTCATTTTATATTAAGTATTTGGAGAATGTTTTGTAATTTGGTTTACACTTGACTCTTTTCCTTGTTGAACTCCATAAGACTTATTATTGACTTGTGACCTTGATGAATATGCTTCATGGCTATGACTATTGTGTAGGTATTATTTGGTTTCACAGCATTCTGTGCAATCTCAAATGTAAATTTGAGGTACTTCAAAGCAAATTTTGCTTCTCTTTTATTTTGATTATTTAGGGAGTCGTATAGAACTTTCTGCAATGAAGCGGCCACGGAGGCATAGAGAGATTGCAATGTGCAGGTTTTCCGTTCAACCACACTTGTTTCTTTGGTGAGTTTCTTTATGATGAGGAATTCTCTCAATTCACTATCTATTTCAACATGCAAATTTGTAGATTTTTAGATGCTTATTCTGGGAGCTTCATATTTATGAATTAGTTACACCCGATTCTAATAAAGGAAGCAACCTCTAACTTTTTACTCATCAATAATAAAAACATCCAAGGCTTGATTGGGGATTTTATAACAGGAATGAATTTTAACTATCACAAAACAGTTACATGTATATGTATAGAAGCTGAGGACAATGTTGTAATAAAACAATGTCTCTAATCAACTTTTTTTATTTTATCCCTCCCTAGAAGATCCCACTCTTTTTGCTCCCTTGGTGATTCAATCTCACAACTTTGGGATGAAAGTGAAGTGAGAGGTGCTCACTACTCGAGCAACTCCCTCTTGAATGTCCTTAGTCAGGGAAAATAATCACCGCAACTAGTAACAACATATCTGATTAATATTTCTCTACTATATTAATACACGAAAAACAAAATTGTTGAAGAACTTATAGAAGCCAATGTACAATACTCACACTCATTCTCCCTCAGTCCAACTACCAGCTTGGTAGATAAGAGGAGAAGGGAGTAGATTTTTAACTCTTATACACTTTATAGGTACTATTTGAAATGCAAACATCTTATTTTGTTGCTGAGGCTGAAAATGCTCTAACAAGGCCTCCCCTCAATGCATTTGAGAGAGCCTGAAAATCGCGTCAGGCTGCTCACGAATGATCCTGGCTTGGAGGTGATCATATCAGGACCTTTCAAGAATGCATGTTTTGGATCTCCAGATTCTACGAAGAATGCCCCGTTCATCATAAGATCTCCCTGTGATTTCCACACCCAATTCTTCCACACATTCTCGGGTGCATAGTCCCTTTTGGTCACCTACACAGAGGAAGAAAATTGGGCATACGTGATACGCCAGTCATCTATTAGACGTGTTCCGTTGTGCTGTTTTGGAGAGTTGGTGAGAAATACTTAATGTTTTTTCGTGTGTTTACCTCTTTGGCATTAGGATTTGGAGGAGCGATAAAACGATTCCCCTGGCTAAGGATGGTGGGATGCATGCTTCCTCCAATAGCATACATAAGCCAATGTGTGTAATCATTGTTGACAGCATGAACAAATCCCCATCTAATTCTCGGCATCCTCTGCGTCAAACCGTGCCCAAAGTGATTGAATGCAAGTGTTATTTGCATAACAGAGTCCCCTGAGGCAGTATCACTGGCACCAAACAACATGACCTACACAATTTTAGTAAAAAAATCAAACTTTTGTGTTTCATTCTGATTTGAAAAAACAAAGTCAAGTAGATAGGACTCAGGATTTGGAATTTGGAGATGATTTACATCATTATGTTTGGTAAAATGGCAATTGGAAATGGTAATGGCAGTGGAACCCTCAACAGCATCAATGAGACCATCCTGACAATTGGACATGGAAATGTGATCGATCCAAACATTTGTTGATCCAAAGATTGAAATTCCATCACCATCACTTTTCGATCGATAACCATAATGACTGACGGAGTCTCTAATTAACCCACCACTACCAGCCTTAGTATCATGAATGTGAAGGTTACTAATAAGCACATTGTGTACAAACTGTAACATAAGGCCACCACCATGAGCAATGTGCACTTGCCTTCCTCGAGCATCAATCGTCTTGTTGCTTGTCATGATAAGCTCCTGGTTAAGCCTAATTACCATGTTCTTAGCAAATATAATCCAAAGTGGCTCCGGCTGGATGACAGCGTGGCGCAATGTGCCCGGCTTAGGATTAACTAATTCGTTGTCTGAATTGTCCATTACTACATAGATTTTTCCACCTTTGCCTCCCGTCGTCTTGCGACCAAAGCCAAGGACGCAATCTGTTAATTTCATGCGATTCCGAGCCCAGTTTGGATCACACCTCCAGCACTGGTCTATAGGATTAGTAGCCATGCATTTTCCGCTGTACCTGTGCAGGTCCCTTCTTCTGCTATTGCTGCCTCGTACAGCCCTTTAAATTCAGAAGCAGGTTCAAAATTTAGAGTCAGTCAATTAAATATGTACATAATTTATCGTATATAATATTAATAATACTAGAGTCGTCCTATAGGATTAAAATGCTGCGTTCAACTTGCATTCTTAATTTCCTACCCGGCTCCAAATAGAAAAATGAAAAAGGTGATAAAGAAATGAACTTTGGGTTTAACTTTTTTACTATATATGCCTCAGCTTGTGAGGAATGTCCAAGACCATATAAGGAGACAAATTGTCATCCATTTTCCGATCATGTGGGACTAGTAACACCTTTACACGCCTATACTTGACAACTTGAGAGTGAACAAGATAATATGGAGGCCTGGGTGATACAAGAATTGATTGGTCCTAAGTACTTTGATATCATGTTGAAAAAATAGATCTTGGACCTAACTTATTTCCACTAGTATATGTAGCCGTATCAACAAGTACAAGCGGAAATAGACTAAAAGGACAATTATACGGCATCTAGAGATCGCCTCTTTTAACTAGAACTTTTAGGTTAGAGGTCCGCCAGTAGCCCAATATATAAAAAAGGGAGGCAATCAATGCGAACTTGAATTCACGTAAATAATCATACGAGAAATTGTCCAATGAATGAAGAGTTCCTACCTACACGATTTTTCACATGGAATGAATTCTGAAAAATACTATGGTCTATGGCACAGGGAATATAATTAAAAGAATAATAATATAAAAAGGAAGAAATGAGAGGGAACTTACTTGTCAACTTGGTAGTTAAGATGGTCAGCAACAATCTTAGGATTAGGATTATAGGCATGTCGAGCGGCCTTCTTTGCTTGCTGGGCTCGCTTCTTCCACACCTCATCAAACTCCTTAATATGTGCCTCAATGCTAACAACTAGAACAACCAAAACTAAGAACAAAAACAAATTACGCTTTGTCAATCCCATTTTTTATAATCATACGTACAAATTATATTGTGTTTCCCTTGATATATTTTTTAATCTCTCTTTAATATTCTTATTTTTCTTCGTTTAAGTAAAAAGATGAATGATTTGTCATAAAAATGGATAGAGTTCAGCTTAATATCCTCCATAGTAAATTAAGAAGTTGCGAGGGAAAAGTGGAGAACCACTTTTTAATTTACTCTAAACGGTCAACAATTAGTCTATCTATTCTAATTTATAATGTGATATAATATCACCTTCTAAATTTGCTACGACGGATTTTGTTTCAACGACACCATGTGGAAGAAAGGATATTAATACTACTATCTTTTCTCCACCCTTTTTATAGGCTACAAATGCACCCACAAACTAGCGTTAGTAAAAATCCACAAGAGACTATCAATTTCTGACCACTATTGTCTATGATTCCTAACAATTCAACAGCATTTACATTCACGAAAAAAAAAAAAAAATGGATTTAGCCAGCCTCCTCGAATTCTAATCATATTATTGATGTAGTTTTTTTACATTAAATTTGTCTAACATATTCTAGAAAGAAAAATCAAATTACCATAGAAACAATAATTAATAATACTATATTTATTAAATACCAACCAAGAGACTGGGAAGTGTTTAGATAAGCTTTTTTTTAAGCGGTTTAAAAGTCAAACTTCAAAAATCAAAAGTAGATAGCCATTTACTTTTGACTTTTGGTTTTTTTTTTTTTTCGGAAATAGCAAACATAATAAGGTTTTATAGCTATAGTTTCGATAATTGCCTCCATAGCTATAGTTTTATTTGCTATCGAAGTTACGATTTGTATATTTCGCTTGCGAATATACA